TTTTTTCCTACCCCCCAAATTATATTATGCTACTGAAGTTCATGCTGTGCCTGAAGCTCTTATAGCCTCAGAGCAGTGAGAATTTGCAAATGCATTAATCTTGTACTTTTTTGACTAATTTTTATGAGTATGAAATCACCTGTCATTTTAGAAGGTCATCTTCAGTATTAAAAGATGTCTGTATGCATGCCTGTTCGGATATTTAAATATGAGAAACCAAAAAAGTCTTAAATAGGTTAGTTTCAGAAATATTAATCACATGTTCATTGATTAAACTGCAAAATAAAATGCAGATTGGGTTACATACCCAAGTATATGCCTAACTTGGAGTTGATTTTATTATTCAATTCACCTTGAAAAGGGTAGTATACCCAGGTAGTATATTCTTATGTGTTTACTGGATAAGTGCAGCTTTCCATTCATAAAATTATTTTGACTTGATTTGATTTGAATTATTATTCCGTTCATAAAATATATTTGCATAAAATTAATTTAACACGAGACCAGCCCCAGTTTGTTATGCTTTGTTTACATTGTAAGAAGTAGATTGTCTACATACAGATAAGGGCATGAAGTACTTAATGTATAACATTTCTGGTAGCTCCACTGTATACTTTGTAACATTCTGACTAATTGAACCTCATTGTACTTCCTTTTACTGTGTCAGAGAAGCCTTGAAAGTGAGAGGAGCAAATCTGTTTCACAACTGTTATCCCTCTACTTTTAAGGTTTCTAATAGCAATCTGGACAGGGATGATTAGAAGCTTTGAAGATGAAGGGCACTAGTCAGGTTTAGAGCTGCCAGTAGCATAGCATGTCATGAGAGTTGCTTACAACATTGTTGGTGCTATGTTATTAGCAGCTGTAAAAGTGACTAGAGCTCCTTACTTTCAAAGCATCTAATCATCCCTGTCCAGATTATTAGAACCCTTGAAAATGGCAGGGGAAACAGTGATGAAGCTGATGACTCCCTTATTTTCAAGAGCAGCCCCAAAATTGACTATTAAAAAGCCCTCCACAAGCAGGGGAGCTAATCGGTCAACTGCTAATAGCCCCGGTAGTATGGTGGTATACTATCAGCAAACTGATTTCTAAGAGCATAGCCTTTTTCAGTCCTGAGGTTATGTATCTGAAATGGTGGAACTGGCAATTAGGCAGTGAAGTTTCACTTTATTCCTATTGAAATGGTAACACACACACATTGTGCCATCTTGGATCAAGAAAAACTATTTTAAATAAATTGCAGATTGATAATAACAGAGTTAATACCATCTGGCTATGTCTCATATCACTTAAATTGGTAATGTTGACCCACTTCTTAGTTAACAACCAGTAATGCTACTAAATTTCTAGTCGTGGCAGTAGCTAATGTTTTGAATGGTCAAAGAACTGAAACCATTTGTGGGCAGCAGAAGGAGTCTTATGCTACACAGTAAATTTAGGGAAGAGTTTAGTCCTAGAACTGTAAATTTTACAAGTTTGGGTCTGTTTTAATTTTCTGATTATTGTGATTAAAATACTTGTATTTTAATCATACCTATGAAGTAGTTCTAACGTTAAGAAATTCAGTGCTGAGATCCAACCAAAAATCTACATATAGATCTACCTCTAGTGACTGTATAATCTATGATGGTTTTTAAACTACTACTACTTTAAACTACTAAGAATTTAGGAAGTAATCATGTATTCTCGGAATAGATTTGTACTTGGACTTAGTGTTTTCTGATGTTCTTCCTGGTTTAGATCTTTGTCTGAAGCCATGTCGGTGGAAAAAATTGCCGCTATCAAAGCGAAAATTATGGCGAAGAAAAGATCCACTATCAAGACAGATCTGGATGATGATATAACTGCCCTTAAGCAGAGAAGTTTCGTTGACGCAGAGGTAGATGTAACCAGAGATATTGTCAGCCGGGAGAGAGTGTGGAGAACAAGAACTACCATTTTGCAAAGCACAGGCAAGGTACTGTATTAATTATCAAACTGAGAGTTTGATGGGGGAAGGGGTAGAAGCTACGTATATACTCTTTGCATACCTTGTGTGTGGGGTGGGGAATACTGTTTCCAGTATTTTCACTAGTTACTGTCCACAGAAAGGACTTGCAAAAAGTGAAGACTCTTTAAAAATATTTTAAAGAGTTACTTCAGTTAATTTTCAAACTAGTTTCTGTGTCTAATTGCCCTGCTCTATTTCCTGAGCTCTTTAGCCCTTACTCTTTAGCATTTTTTTTTTTTGGTTTTTTCAAATGGCCTTTGGACTAAGCCGTCATATTCCCTCCCCCCTCTACAAAACAGAAACAACTTAACTGAATGTGTAAGGGTAACAACTTAGAACAGGCTTTAAATGATAAGGTGTAGGCTGTTGACACAACCATGAAAAGCTGATAAGAAAGCTTTTTTTTCCCCTTAACCTCCATTACTTTGAGCCGTGTCACTTGCTTAATTCCAAACCTGAAGTAGTTCAAAGAAATAATAAAATGGAAAAAAAATTAGTTATGGGGCTGCACTCATGTTTTCTGCCTAGACACTGCCCTATTGTTAGAGCTAGGCATAATCTCTTGTGTGTAATCAAGAGCAAACAGTTTTTGCCTCCTTTTAAACAATCTAAGTGAGGAAGATCATTTTGATTTCCAATATTAACAGAGCAGTAACAAGGAGAAATGCAATGTTTTTTATTTCTTTGCATCATTGAAATACATAAATTGTGTTGGGGATCAGAACCCAGGGGTCCCTCCTTTCAGGAGAGGGCCCTCATTGGGCTAACAGATCATCATCCTTTTTCCTTTCAGTGCAGTCTCCAACTTCCATAGGAGGAGGTGAAAAGTGTCTCCAGCTTGGCCTAGTTTCTAGTCTGGTGGTTAAGGTACTCTCTTGGGAGATGTGATTTTTTTTTATTTTTTTTATTCCATCTAGCCTGAGAGAGTCATTGAATTCAAGTCTCAGTCTTTCAGAGTTTATGCTCTAATTGCCAAACTGTTACACAAAAGCTGGGAAATTAAAATCATTATGTCCTCACCTACTGATTGTTTTTGAATGAAAGTGGCTGTGGGTGCTGTGCTTTAAGGTTCAACACCAATGTTATTGGTATGGACTGGGCATGCTTTTGAGTGTGTTTGTTTGGGTAGGTAGCCACAAGGTTATTTGATTTATATAAAATTCCTAACAATTTCAAGTATGAAAGACGGACAGACTCTGGGTATGGCAAGATATTAATGTCTCTGGTCATATTCAGTAGAATTGGAAGTGCCCAGTGGTTTGTCTACATTAAGGTGCATGTTGGCACCTTAAGTTAACCAGAAATTAAACCAGAAATCCTCTTTTGCCAACACAATTGCATTTTATATGTGGTTGGTGGCATATTATATTAGTTCTGATGGTAAAACTTCTGTAGTGTAGACCAAAACCTAAGCCATTGCTCTGGTGAAAACAAGCACCTAAAGAGTCTTAGTGCCTATGTGGTTAGGTGCAGTTTTTGTGGGTTGCTCACTTGAACATAGACACCTGAATTGTACCAGTTACATTTTAGGGTCCTAAGATTGCATTTACATTGCCTCCATGCTGTTCATATTCTGCTGGCAAAGAATAAGCCTAACATAATTGATTCCACACCATGTTCCTCAAAACTTAAACTGAGAAAGTGAAGAGGTTGTGGGGGCACTCCTTTTCCTCCTCCCACCATTGCTGAAGCATGCAAGAGATGCTGATCTAGAGAATGGTGCTAGTGATTTTGATGCTTTGGGTTTCAGTTGCATGAAGTGGGAGTGGGTTAGCAGGGTTTATTTTGTTTTTTGGCAGCAGTTTTTTGAGTGTTGCATGGAGGCACTGGTAGATGTGCCCAGAATCTTTATATGGATTTGTTAGATAGACAGTTGTTTTACCAGCAGCTTTAGCTGTAGGATACAGAAATGAGGAATTCATGAAGTTGGTTTCACCAGTTATTTTGGGAATAAAAATAACTTCATCTTGCCTTGGGGGCAGAGCAGGGAGAAAGAGCTAAATTTACTAGTGCTCTGAAAAGTGATTTCTGCAAAAGCATCCTTTATCCAGGCCTAAAGTTTGTGGATTAGATTGTATTTAGTGTGCCCAAATCATTTTGGCAAGCAATTTGTCAATGCTGCGTAGCTTCAGGTTTGACTAAGGGTATCCATGTAACAGCTGATTGTCTGGCCAACCTGAAATTCAGCTAACTTTATGAAAAATCTAATTAGTGGTGTGGGGCATGGTAGGGAAGGTTGTTTTAAATAGGCAGCTGATGCAACTTCAATCATAAGTTCCGATTTTTAAGGATTTTTTCTTTTCTTTGCATGAAAGAACAACACACAAGGGACTAGCTATAATATGCTGATTGCTGTCAGCATGTATAAACTAAAGAGGAAGAATTAGAGGTGGAAGCCACCATTTTTAAGTATAGTAAGACTAGTCAGTGTTGACAGGAAATGGTAAATAGTAAATAAAAAACAGGTCGTGTCAGAAAGTCGAAATTTTATATTCATTCCTTTTATCCAACATTAAATTGAGGCAGTGTAAATTTGAAGAATTTAGAGAGGCTGAGGGAACTGGGTTTGTTTAGTTTGGAGAAGACCAGATGGAAGGGATTTGATGGCAGCCTTCAACTACCTGAAGGGTGGTTTCAAAGAGGATGGACCCAGAGTATTCTCAGTGGCGGTAGATGACAGAACAAGGAGCAATGGTTTCAAGTTGCAGCAAGGGAAGTTTAGGTTGGATACTAGGAAGAACTTTTTCCCTAGCAGGGTGATGAAGCACTGAAACAGGCTACCCAGAGGGGTAGTGCAATCTCCATCCTTGGAGGATTTTAAGGCCTGGCTTGACAAAGCCCTGGCTGGGATAATCTAGTTAAGCATGGTCCTGCTTTGAACAGAGTTGGACTAGATGATGTCCTGAGGTCCCTTCCAACCCTACTTTATCTATGATTCTAAGATGATTTTTGTTAATGAAGTCAAGTAATCTTCGGGCTGGATCCAGTCACTTTGGAGACCAGATCTGGCCCATAAGTCCATTGGTTGAGCTCCACTGGTTTTAAATGGGGGGTGATCCTGCCTTAAGTAGAGGACTGGACTAGATGAACTTGTGAGGCTCCTTTCAGCCCCACTCTTCTATGACTGTCATCTTGCTAGCAGGGGTGTAGATCACTTATCTCAGTGATAACAAAACACTTCCCTTTACAAAGAAACTTTATAACGTATGCCCTTTAGAGACACTACAGTTGACCAGCTTAGGTAATACGAGGTATTGTCACTGTAGTAATGTTATCAATAACCAAATCTGTTCTGAAGGTTAGACTTGCCTTGTCAGACACTTGCGTGATTTAAATCAATTTGGGATGAAAGATTGGCTTGTTCTGATATTTCAGAGTGAGAGTGGTAGTTAGAAAAATAAAATTTATGTATATTTGTATGTATTTATATTTAAAAATATATTTCATACCCCTACCCCCCAATATGTATGCATGTGTATAAATTTCTTATTTTAACTTCCAATCTTGGGAGCAAATACTAGTGGGATAAGAACTTGCAGTGGCAAACAATCTAAAAATGATTTGCATCTCAAGCTGGATATGCACTTCAAAAAATGTTCGGACACTTAAATAAACAGCAGTATAAATTGTTTAAAAGCAAAATTTCCCTTTTTTTCTGGCATACACACTTGAGGCAAGAAGGCAAGACTCATTGATCAAAACAAGTATCTCACTGTTTTGGGAATAAAATAGAGCTCAACATGATAAAACTCTCATGTTTAAAATTTAATTATGCCTTAACTGATTGATTCATTTCCCTTTTGATTTGTTTTTATTTCCCT